AAAACTTAAAATTTTCCTTCCATTTCCTTTCGTTTCCTTCGAACTCGGGAACACGGAATAATGAATATTTTCCTTAATTTTCCTTTCTTTCCGTCATAATTTTCCTTCACTTTCTTTTAATGAATTTACAAAAAAAAACTCGGTAACAAAGCGTAAGGCTTTTGGAGTTTTGGTGAGTACTTACGTGTGTTTCTGCCAGCGGGGCATTTGTGTAATTTTGTAAATTTCTTATATCAAACCAAACATGAATCAATACCCTTTGCGTTGCAGAGCTTCCTGGGGCTTAACCAAGACTCCATCGACATGGAGCAAAAGCTTCTCTCGAATTTCGAACAAATTTGCAAAAACCAAACAAAAATATCTCTAAAATCCTTCTCTATCGCTAGAACTCTCCTTGTAAATCCCTCAACCTCCGATCAGACAATCTCTTCCATCCTCCAAAACCTAGAAACTCTATCAACAGCAGTAGCAGCATCAAACCATCAATTCTACCATCTCCATGTCATCACCCTCCTCTGTGAAATCTCCATCGTACGCCGCCATTTCTCCCCCCGCATCACCACCACACTCCACTCTCTTTCCCTTCACTGCCCCAACATTACCCCACGTGCCGCCGGACTTGCACTCTCTACCTCTGTTTCCATATATCTTGCTTCCGCGTCCAACTTGGTTTCCGCGTTTTCAGAGGGGACCGAGGGATTGTTTTTATCTCTCTGCTTCAGTTCGTGTGTGCCTGTGCGTCAAAGGCTGCTATCGGATGTGGAGCTATTTAATGTCCGGCCGTCGCTTCTGCTCACGGTGTTGACAGGGTTCACTAAGGATCCGTTTCCTTACGTGAGGAAGGCTGCTTTGGATGGTTTGATTGGGTTGTGCAAGTGCATTGTCGTTGAAGATCGTGGTATGATTGAAGGATGTTACCTTCGTGCTGTTGAGCTCTTGTTTGATACTGAGGAATGCGTGAGATGCTCAGCTGTTCATATGGTAATGTAATGACTGTTTCTGTTTATTGAATTGATTCTGCAAATGGATTTTAATCATTTTGGTGTGGCAGGTAAGTGAATGGGGGAAATTTCTAGTGGCAAATAGTGAGGGCAAAAGCAAAAGAGATTGGTCAGATGCATTGTATGTACAGGTATCAATGAAACCTTATCATTTATAATTTAGATACAATCCCAAGAGGGATACACGATTCCCAAGTTTTGATTCTTGACATCATAAAATTTCATATCAAGAATTTAAGATTATCATATATTAGAAACAAAAAAATCACTCATGAAAACTTACTTTAAAGGCTTGACTCATTTTCTGTCCTTAGCTTTAGCTGAAACCATAAACACATCACTGGTTTTCATTCTTGAACTCATAGATTTTCTCCTATTTGACTGACTGTTTTATGTTAAAAGTTGTTTAAAGGCATCTTATTGCCTTTTTGGCTAGCCATGTTTTCACTCTGAATTGGATGTAATGGTTGCCACATGCATATATGAAGGTGATGAATCACCAATACTCTATGTTGGATGATAACAATTACATTTCTAACCTTCTACCTTCTTTTGTGTTCTAAAGCTCATAATAATTAAAATACAACCAATAAATCTACTCACAAAGCATGCCTTTCAGTTCGGATATAACATCAAGAAGCTTAATTCAAGGTATTCTATTATTATTCTGAAAACAGAGGGTGTTACATTTCCAGAGTGTATGATTTAGCTTCTTTCTAATCTTGAAAAAGACTTCAAGTTCTATTTACAAATTGAATTTAAAAAGCATATATGACCTAGAGAAATTAATCTTCTTGTTTATCTATATATTTTTATGGACAAAGGGGGCCCACTGTATTTACTTGCATTCTGATCTGTAATACCAATATTGATTTTGATCACTTATTCTTTTCAACCTTTTTGACATGTGAGATAGCATATGACCTTTTCTAGCTCTATACAAACGCTTTATGTCTACAAAAACCACAAAAAAAAAACAATAACTTGAAGGGCTAAATGCAAGAAATAGCAACATACTTTTTATTTATTTGAGCATTATATCATTCTACTTCCATTTATTTCTATAACAACATTCTACTTTCAATCTTTTTCTTGTTAAAGCATTACACTTCCAATTCTTTTTTCTTCTCATTAGCACATTATACTCTACAAAAGTTACCTAGTTATAGCAGTGAAAGTAATTGCTATAACTGGATAAAAATTTCAAAGTAACAATGTTGTAATAACAAGAAATGGAAGCAGGATGCCTTAATAAACAATCTTACGATCTTATCCCATTTTCTCATCATCTTTTACATCAAATGTATCTGCAGCTGTGTTCAATGGTGAGGGACATGAGTATGAATGTCAAAATTGAAGCTTTTAATGCTCTTGGGAAGTTAGGAATGACATCTGAGTATATTCTGATGCAAACCCTCTCCAAGAAAGTCTTGCCAATCACCAAAGAAAAGACATTACATGGTCAACTCTCAAGAAAGCATTCCAATTTACCAGCTTCAAGTGCTGCTGGAGCTTTTATACATGGATTGGAGGATGAATTCCATGAGGTAACTCTATTATTTGTGTATTAAAGCATCCTACTTTCATTTTATCTCTTTCATGAGGTAATTGCAATAGGAAGAAATGAAAGTACATTGCTATTTCTTGCATTACATGAATCTGCCTTGTTTGAAGGTAAGAAGCTGTGCGTGTTATTCCATGAGGATGCCTGCTATTCTTTCTGCTGACTTTGCTACTGGAGCCTTAGGTTTGTTAATGGATGTGCTGAATGATGATTCAGTTGTTGTAAGATTACAAGCTCTTGAAACCATGCATCATATGGCTGTTTATGGCCATTTAAAAGTGCAAGAAATGCACATGCACATGGTAAGTTTCTTATTAATCCAATTAAACATGTTTTAACTTTTTAATTACATTGAATTAAACTATTAATTGTTTAATTTTACAGTTCCTTGGTGCTCTAATCGACATGAACTCATCAATAAGATTAACAGCAAGAAAAGTACTTCGATTAACTAAACTCCATGATCTGATTCTGTTTAAACTAGTTGTTGATAGCCTCATACAGAGTCTAGAGAAATATCCACAAGTGAGTTTCATGTAAAGTTTTCCATATTCTTTTTTTTCAAAAGATATTGGTAAAGAATGTGTGATGTTGACTATGATTTTGACTCAGGATGAGATGGATGTTCTTTCTCTTGTATTTGATATTGGCAGAAATCACGGAACTTTTGCTATCAGCATCATTAAAGAATTCTTTCCAGAGGTTGAGAATTTAGTTTTTTTTTCTTACAACCTGTTTGTTATATATTTTTATCTCAAAACTGATATAAAGTATAAATCTTTAGGTGGACCCTTCTTCTGAATGCAATTGGGATTTTAATAATTCAAAAACTGCTGCACACCTTGTATTGGCCATATCTATTCCACTTTCCCATGGAAAGCAACAACAGTTGGATTTGGATAGCATTCCATCGATAATATATTCTTATGCTGTTACAATTCTTGGAAGAATTTCTAGAAGCTTGACTGGAGTGATGAATCAGGACACACTTTTGGCTTATTTATCACATTGTAGTAGATCAAGTGGACCCCACCCTATAGAGTTGATGAAAGGGGAAGACAAGATGGTTGAAGATGATGTGGCAACAAAGATTGATACTCAAATAACATGTCCTGTCAGTGTCAGATTAGACATGGTGCATAATAATAGTGATGGTGATTCTGAAACACTTGATAATGCAGATAATTATATAAAGTTTATCTTTGCTAATGTTGTACAAATATGGCCTTTGATGAAGTTTGGATGCATACAAGAAGTGCTTACAACACTAAGGTTAGTTTATTTATTATAATTTATAAGCTGCAATTTTTCCACTTTTGGTTCCTATGCTGTGTCAGTTATTTTGGAATCTTTTTTCCTTTTTGATCCATAATTCACTGTTTCATAACACATTTAGTCCCTGGCTCATAACCAAGGTTAAGTTTATGAAAACTGAAAATGACCATTTTACCCTTGACCTCTCTGTTTTCATTAAAGTAACAGCTGGGTTGCTAACTTATTAAGACGAAACGTGGACTAAAATTTTTCAGAAGTCTGAACTGTGAAGTAGGTATAAAACGAGTAAAGGATTCTTTTTTGGAGTAAAACATATGAAAATGACCATTTTGCCATTTGCCTTCTTCATCTTCTCTGTTTTTCATTAATTTATAAAGCTGGGCTGTTGACTTGACAAAAAGATTCCTTTTTGGACCATATAAAAAGAATCGATATAGTCCAGGGACCAAAAGTGTAAATTACTATACGATGATACCCATTTTAATTATATCCAATTCATGCAGGAGTTGGAAGGAAGAACTAGCAGCATTTATCACTGATCCATCATGTCAATCCAATTCTCGTTTAACATTTACTTCACAATATCTTGATGTGGTGAAACTACTTTCAAAAGCATGGTGTCATGTCATGTGCCCAATGGACTTAATATGTAAAGAATCAGGAAACTTGGGGTACATTTTGCAAAAACTGGAAAGTAGACTCCGAGAATTACAACACAGGTTCGTCGGGTTGAGTAAAGAAGAGGAGCTACATATCCAGGAGCTTACACATGTCGCCTCTACACTAAAATCGTCTATATTCGATGAATCTGCAATAAAAAAACTAGAGTTTTTTTCCTTAAAAGAAATTATATTCCAGAAAAACATAAAATACATGGATGCAGAAGTTGATGTTGGGGACAAATACAATGATTGGTTAAATCCGATTCCCTTTGTGGCTGGACTACCTGTTGGAATACCATTAAAGATTAGGTTACATAATGTACCAATTGAGACTAAGTTATGGGTAAAAATGACAATGTATGAGAAGTTGAGGGAGTATGTGTATGTTGATTTGAAACAATTTGAAGGTTGTGAGAAGGTGAGAGAATTTACGTTTATGCCCCCGTTCCGTAGAACCCCGAAAGTGAATTGTTTTGTGTTGAGGGTATGTGTAGGCATGGAATGTTTGTCTGAGAAGGAGGTTGATGGTTTTAGAGGGCATGGTGGGCCCACACATGAACTTGTTTATCTTTGCAAGGAAAAAGAGGTGTTTCTTTCTATGGTGGGTAAAAAATGTTAAAGGTGGCGAGACATGACAAGACATAACAAATTTAATAGAACACTGAACAGAACAGGTTGTACTGTGTTTGATATGCAAGACAAACCCAAAAAGGTGGAACAATGTCGATTTGTTGTCTATGGAAAAGACGTGAATGCCCTTCTCATCCTTATTGAAAATAGCCCTCGGATGAATCTTGAAAGCAAGTGAAGCATTTTGTTGGCCTCAAGGTTTCAGTTATTCTCTGGTATGTTTTCTTTACTCAAACTTTAAATAGACATATTTTTGTTATTTAATGTTGGCACAAGACCATCTACAACCCTATTCTAATTTTTTTTAAGATATTCATAAATACCGTTTTTATTTACGGGCTTTTTACAAGATTTAATTGGAAAGATGGTGCGTGGATGCGCATGACAAAGATGAAGGTTTTCAGGGCTATGAGCGCTCAAAGCCACTTAACTCACGAAGAAGTTGGTGATGAAAATGACTTCGAAAGATAACATGGAAACCGGTTCAAAATTCCTTTTCATTAGCTCTTGAAACAACAAGTACCCATGAATACTTTGAAATTACAATTTTGTCCTTACCTTTTACCTTATTCCTTATGGATGGCCCACTGCCATCAAGTAAGTCTCCTTGTTTCCACAAAGTCTTTGTGTATCTATTAAAGCATGCAACTCGTCATCATTGTTAATAAAATAACTATAATGCACTTTTGTATTTATTTATTTTTAATTAATTTATTATTTAAAAAAAGACCAATGCAATCCACTCCCTATATGGAAAGTACCTTTCTCTCTGTCTCTCTCTAACATCCCTCAATGCTCCGCGAATATTAATGCTTGCCAACCTAAAAGTTCACCGTTGCCGCCCACCTGATGGACATTGGATAGTTTTGACAGGATGAAACTGTTAACAATTTATCCCAAACCACATATGAATCATTTCAGACCTCCAAATCATAAAGTTCCTAATGGTCTTTTAGACTGACAAATCATAAAGACTAGCATTTTTTTTTCTTGAGAATATGCCAGAGAGATTTAATCTCATGATCCGTCGTATAGATATTTAGGGAAAATTTGGCAAATCACTATAAACCCATCAGCGACTCACATGAGCGATTGAGCATATGCATAAACAAACCATAAAGCGTTTAGATTCAATATGATGAAATAAACACTAGTTGATACAATGGAAAGAACACCAATATGATGTTATAAATTTTAAAGAATAGTATAATATCTTCCTGTGCCTTCTCATTGATAAGAGGAGAATATTTATACAATTAGAGGTAATCCCAATAAACTAGGAATGGGATAAATACTATGTTTATAGATAAATACAAATAATATATTTCACTAACAACCTCCCTCGGTTGGAGTTGGAGTAGGAGGTGACCCGAATGCTCAAACTGGATCTGAAGTCGAGAAAAAGTTGTCAAGGAAGACATTTGGTGAATATATCTGCATATTGGAAGGCGGATGGAACATGTAGTACACAGAGATGTCCGAGGGCAACCTTTTCACAGACAAAGTGAATATCCATTTCAATGTGTTTAGTCTGTTGATGTTGAACTGGGTTTCCGGCGAGGTACATAGCTGAAATATTATCTCAATAAACAAAAGTTGCATGTTTTAGAGGGGTGTGAAGTTCGAGTAACAAGTTTCGTAACCAACATGTTTCAGCAACTACATTTGTAACACCATGGTACTCGGCATCGGCGCTTGAGCGTGAGATAGTATGTTGACGCGTTGCAGACCATGAGATTGGATTATCTCCTAGGAAGATACAATATCCAGATGTGGATCGACGGGTGTCAGGGCAGCCTCCCCAATCGACGATCGTGTATGCGATGAGCTGAGATGGTTGTAAAGGGTATAAATGAAGCCCAAGGTCAAGAGTGTCTTTTAGGTAGCGTAAAATGCGTTTAAGAGCATTATAGTGTGGTTCGCGGGGAGCATGCATATACAGAAAAATTTGGTGTATGCCATAAGCAATGTCCGGGCTTGAAAAGTAAGGTATTGAAGAGCCCCATCTATGCTTCGATAGGTTGTAGGGTCAGTTAGAAGAGAGTCGATGTTGGCACTTAATTTGGAGTTTGTGTCGACTAGGGTGGCAACACGCTTGCATGTAGACACGTTGGTTCGATGTAGAATTTCTTCCATGTATTTGTGTTGTGTTAGGAACATGCTGGTGTTGGTGCGTTTGACGAAGATACCTAAAAAATAGGATAGAGGACCAAGGTCTGTCATGTCAAACTCGCATTTGAGGGCGCTAATAAGCTCATCTTTGAGATTCTCGGTGGAGGTGGTGAGAACAATGTCATCCACATAAAGAAGTAAGTAAGCTAAGTCGTGACCATGTCGCAAGATGAAAAGGGAGTTGTCACTTTTGCTGCGTGTAAAACCAAGATGAAAAAGATGCTCAGCAAATCGTTGGTACCATGCCCATGGGGCTAGCTTTAAACCGTATAGAGCTTTTCGAAGTCGGCATACGTGATCTGGATAGTAAGAATTATAAAATCTCGGTGGTTGGTGCATGTAAACAGTCTCTTGAAGGTTCCCATGGAGGAAAGCGTATTTGACGTCTAGCTGATGAATAGGCCAATTGTAACTCATTCCAAGACTAAGGACCGTACGGATTGTGGCAGGTTTAACCACGGGGCTGAAGGTTTCAGCACACTCGATTCCTGTAATTTATGAATTTCCATTTACAACAAGTTGGGCTTTATATCTTTCAAGGGTGCCGTTAGAATGAAACTTGTGACGAAATATCCAATGGCAACGAATAATGTTTGCATCAAGAGGACGCAACACCAAGTCCCAAGTATTTTGTTTAAGTAATGCGTTATACTCAGTATTCATGGCATTATTCCGATTTTGATCACTTAGAGCAGCCTTATGGTTGGATGGGATTGGAGAAATATAAGGATTTTGAGAGTGGAGAGAGAAAAAGTTGTTTTGGTTTGACAATGCCACTCTTTGAATGAGTTTGCATAAGGTGATTAGAGACTGATGATGTGGGGATTGAAGTGGTGGAAAGAGGAAGCAAGAGGGGTGGAATGGTCTATTCAACAGGTGTGGGTTCACGAACTGGTGAAGGTGGGTTGTGTTGAGTAACCGAGGGTAAGTTAGTAGCAGTGGATGGTGGGGTAGTTGGGTTGTCGTTTCGAGGGAACGAAGATTGGGGGGGGGGATTACAAAGTGTGGAGTAATATATGGTATATGGGGAGGGTGGTATGTTGATAATGAAGTCATAGGAAGAAGGAAAATATTTATGTAGTGATGAGAAAGGGAATGTGTTTTCGTCAAAAGTGACATGTCGGGAGATTATAGATTGGTTTGTGGAGAGCGAGTGACATATGTAGCCTCGGTGATTAGAGGGGTAGCCAAGAAAAACACAAGGAATGGATCGAGGTGCCAGTTTATGAGGGGTAGTTGAGGAGATGTCTGGGTAACAGAGACACCCGAAGGTTCGAAGATGTGTATAAGATGGTATCCGATTATATAAAAGTTCGGTTGGAGTTTTGTTACAGATGGTGGTAGTGGGCAAAATGTTAAGAAGGTAAGTAGCAAGAGCAAGAGCATAATTCCAATATGACGGAGGAAGAGATGCTTGAATGAGGTTGGTACAAATCATATTGTTTATGGTACAAATAATTCTTTCGGCTTTACCATTTTCAGGTGAAGTGTAAGGACATGAAAACTGGGATTGCATGCCTTGTGTAGCACATAAGTGATGAAAGGAGGAGTTATTAAACTCATGACCATTATCACATTGAAGGGTTTTGATTTTATGGTCACATTGAAGGGTTTTGATTTTCTTATGAAATTGAGTTTGAATTAAGTTGTGGAATTGTGAAAAGATAGAGAAAACTTGTGATTTTGTTTTGAGAGGAAAGATCCAAATAAAATGAGAAAAATCATCAAGACGAACAAGATAATATTTATGTCCTAATTTCGATGCAACGGGTGATGTCCACAAATCAGCATGGATAATATCAAATATATAATAAGTAGTAGACCGAGATACATAAAATCGTAAACAAGAATGTTTGCCCAAAGCACAAGCATTACGAGACATAGATTACTATGATTAATTGTAAACATTTTTATAGTTTATTTCTATACGCACCTCAAATTACTTGTTGTTCTTCTCCTATACGAATAAATCAGTTAAAATTTGAAATTGATATGATAGGTAGTAGTGATCATAATAGATTAGAGATATCTTTGTTAAGAGTGTTGCTTTTGCATAATACAAATCTTTTTAATTTGATTGAAATAAACTTATTTTCAGGCGATGTTTTTTTTTTTAGCTTTATTATTATTATTATTATTATTATTATTATTATTATTATTATTATTATGTTTTTAATTATTTGTATTCTAGAAAAATATTTTTATATATATAGTTGTATTTTTATTTTTTGTTCCGACTATGTCTATGTTATTTTTTTGTCCGGGCTCTAAATATGTTACTTTTTGTTCGTACAATTAGTATTATTTTTTTCATTTGGAGAATCTTTGTATTATTTTTTTTGTTCGGATAAGACCGGAGGGTATGGGAGAGAAGTTTCCCCTTACTTTTTGTGGGCCATACCCCATTTCCCTCACATTTCTTTCCTTTACCTAAAACCCAAGGAGTGGGTGAGAAGTCATTCTCTCACTTTTTTTTTTAAATAAGTTTTTTTTTTTTTTTTTATGATTTATAATTTTTAAATTAATACTAAACATGAAATTTAATTAAAAATAAAAAAGTATTTCATTAATTAAAATAAAACTTACATTAAACCTAAAATTTAAAAAACTAGAAAATTAAAAAAAAAAAACACAAACTAAAAATCAAACAAACCAACAACGACTTACGAGAAATATTTTTTCATAATTTTTTCCCTCTTGTTCATCACGAGATCGAGAGCCGGTCCTGAGAGATGATCGATGTTTTCCATCAAAAACTTCATATCCTCCATTTCTTGTCTCTCCGCCCGCTCCTTTTGCCTTGTTTCTTCTTTTTCTTTGTCGAAAGCCAAACATCCGCATTTCGTCAATGTTCACGCTGAAATCAGATGCACCCGAAGAAGTCCCTTTTCCCTTTCTCTTCGCTTTGTCCCTACCCATTGGGTGAACAATTTTCTTGTAGCTCGAGTTCGTCATCCTGATTTAAATCTAGACCGACCCGAGCATCGGAGGAGGTTGTGTAACCACTGGAGCCCGTTTTCGTTCGCTTTGATTGTTGGACTCCAAAAATAAAATTTTGCTCGTATTTTTTCCACCTAGGACATCGAACCAATAATTTCCAACAATCGTGCCACTTGAATGGTTTTCCGACTTCTTCAAGGTGAAACTGCAAAATTTCTTGAAGTATTTGTTCGTCCTATTGGCCGCTTTTCCGTTGGGTTTTTAGGTTGTTGTACAACCCATTTATTTTTAAAACCCCCTTTGCTATTTCTCGAAACTTCGAATTTAGTTGATGTTTCGTACGGTAGTCGTCATCTTTTTGTAGCTCCTCTCGAAACCGTTCTAAAATGCGAAACCAAAAATGGTCTCCCGGTTGTACGTTTCCTTGAATCGAATCTTCAGAAATGCCAGCCCAAGATTTGACCAAAACTAGCTCTTCATGCATGCAGTCGGCTTTTGTCTTCCCGGTTAAGGGAAACCCTTGCGCACTTGTTTTTTCCCTTTACGTCTTTTGTGGGGGTGGTGTGGGTTCCGTTTCGGGAAC